GGACGATGAGGGGCGAGTAGGTCTGAGTCAATGAACAGCATAAAGAACACTAATGGGYGGAGGTGCTGATTGAGAGCAAAAGAGACAGGAGATGGGAGTAGAGGATCCAAGTTGTAAGCACCACTTCTGCCACCAGGTGGCGCCTGCAGACGCGACTCCAGCATCTACCGGGATTTTCTTCTTCGCTGTGACGTGTATACATTTATGTATCTTCCTCTCTTTTTCATTCTTTTTSGACGTGGATAACTTTACAGTTTGGCCCCTAAGATGCACAATAGTGAGATATGATCAAGACGAAACTAGAAGAAGGCATCGCACCGAGATCCTGGACTTAGAGGTGAGCCGTACCTGTGAGACCTCAAGCTGCCTCCTGCACCTGACGGGCTCACAACCTAGTGGCTTGAGCCCTACTCAGAACTGCGATGTGTTTGAAGGGAATACTGGCAAGGAGTGGAAACTATAAAATAAAGGGCAAAAAGAGTTCAGTGGATAGTGATCAGCCAGAGATATGAACTGTCATATGAGAACAGAGAGCACACTTCAGTATCCATAACTTCAGCAGGACCAGAGGATGAGGTGAGATAAGCAGCCCCTGGGAACCCAGGAGATCATAAAGACCCCTCCCTTGCTGCCTTGAAGCCTCCGAGGCTCCACACCACACTTGATCTAATCTTGGTCAGGAGAATGGAGGGGAGGGGGCCTAGAAGGAGAAAGGCAATCTTATCACACATGCTTCACTTCCTGTCCCCACCTAAAGAAGACAGAGACTGGACAGTCAGAAAAAATTTACAAGCTGCAATTGTTACAAACCCCAATTTGTCACTTGACCCTTCTTGGGGAAGGGAATTTGTGGGCTAGGTAACCAATGGAATGGATGGGGCTCTCTACTATAGCTGTTTGCCCAGAATCTTGTGCCCTTCTTTGGGTAATAAAACCCACTCTGTTCAGAAAGGGATCACTTCCCAATCATGAGACCCCGGGTRGGGCTGTTCACCCCAGAGTTCCACCCAGTACCGGTCCTGGGCAGGCGACTGRAGGATACAAGCTCTGTCAGCCTAAGTATGCATGTATGTATGTAAGTATGTAAGTATATATGTAGTAAGTATGTATGGGGGATTTGTTTGGATTTGGGTTTTGTTTGYTTGGGTTTGGGGGGTTTATTGTTGTTGTTTGTTTGTTGTTTTTGGTTTTGAGACAGAGTCTCCCTCTCCTGCTGGGCTTAGGAGCTTCTCCTGCCTGGGCCTCCCAGTGCTGGGACTGTAGGCACGTACCACTGCCCTGGCCTCTCTCTGGGGAGTTTGAATCTTGAGTGGATCCCTGCCTGCTCTCTGCTCTGGCTCCATGGTTGTGGCTCCTCTGACCCTGATCCAGGACTATGAGCCCTTTTGCAGAATSGAGATGTCTATCTTTGTGACTTGGACAAAAGTAATACATTATAGAGATACAGGAGATTTTCAGGCCTTCAGGGGCAAGAGTACAACCAGCTGAGGGGAGTGAGTGTGCATGTGTGTGTGTATGTGTGTGGTGTATACCCAGATCTGAAAATCCATTGGGAAGTCAGCGCATGGCCATGCTTCTCTGTGACTGACTGATCCATCCTTCCATCCCTCTGTCAACTCAGTCAGTTTCTTCATCAGCACAAAGAAAACTCCCTCCAGGGCTTCCCCACTTCCATGTAACAGACAAGCTTGAGAGGGGCTGTCAGACACAGATCTATGTCCCAGGAGGGACCTTGGCTCAGATGCCATCCCTTCCCCTGTCCTTTGTGGTGAGGAGCAGAGGTGGCTTATTTATTAGCATGGCTGCCAGAGGCTCACCCTGTACGACYGGAGTAGATCATAGAGAAGTTAAATGGCAGTCACCCAGAGGAACTCCAAGGTCACTGTGCCTCAGCCCCCCTMAACAGGAGGCATGACACCACCCCATGAATGGAAACTGACCAGGAGAAATCTTACTTTTTTTTTTCTCTTTTTTGTGGTCCAGGAACTCACATGTGCTAGGCRAGCGTTCTACCACTGAGCTACACCCCTACCCTGCTTTTTTTTTTTCTTTTTGAGATACAGCAGCTACATTATATAGACTCGAATCATAAGCATACAACCAGATGGATTTTGCATCTGTTTTCAGTCCTCTAGATCAAGGCTGAGAACAACTCCAGCACTCTATGGAGGGCTCTCTCAGGGCCTCCTTCTCATCAATAGCCCCCAGAAGGGGGATGAGAAGTGTCCCACTTTCCCAACTTCCCTCACTATCAGTGAGTTTTGCTTCTTCTTGACCTTCAGGTAGATGGATCATGCAGTCTGTGTTCTTTGTCTATGATTTTTCTTTTTTTTATCTTATTTATTTATTCTGATTAGGTATATATGACAGCAGAATACATTTCGATTCATTGTATATWACTGCAGCACAACTTTTCATTTCTCGGGTTCTATGACTTTTCATGTTCAACATGATGCCAGAAAAATTGTCCCATATGATTGAAATAAGCTCAGTTTTAATTTTTAAAAAAAAATTTAAATTAAAATAATTATCTCTTTAAAGACAGTCTCACTATGTGGACCAGGCTGGACTCAAAATCCTGGGCTCGGGCTGGGGTTGTGGCTCAGCAATAGCGTGCTCGCCTAGCATGTGCGAGGCCCTGGGTTCCATCTTTAACACCATGCAAAAATAAATAAATAAGATAAAGGCATTGTGTCCAACTACAACTAAAAAGTAAATATTAAAAAAAAAAAAATCCTGGGCTCAGGTGATCCTCCCACCTCAGCTCTGAGTAACTAGGACTACAAATGTGTTACCGCACCCAGTTCATTTTTGGGGTTGTCTTTTGTTTTGGTTTCTTGAGAGGGAGAACCCCAGAAAGAAACTCTATTCATTTATCTAGCAGTGTTATGGATCAAAGCCTGGGCCTTGGGCATGCGAGGCTAGTATTCTACCACCAATCCACACCCCCAGCCCCCAATCTCTCTTAGATTAGAAGACTGGCTAACCTTATGAGGTTTGGGTACAAAAAGTATCTAATTTTTGCTTATGTTTTGAAAGCACATAGATCTGTCAGAGCTCTCTTTGCTGTTCTTTGCATTTGTAATGGCAAAACCTCCAGTCTCGATCCTCTGGGAAGTTGGCGGTGGCCAGTTGGGGACAGGACTGGTRCATGCTCACAGCTCCTCTGGTTTCTTCTGCAGCCTCCTGCCTTGACTTGGGAGAAGGCACCATGATTATCTCCCTGTGGCTCCCCTCCCACTGGCAGGRGGTGCAGATGGGAGGCAGCGGGTAGAGGAAAGAGGGGCCAGGCTGGGCTCAGGTCAAAGTGGTTTCAAACACTGACTCCCCTAAAGTGAGAGGACAGTGTTCCTCTCTGTAAGCAGGTGGGCTTCTCTTATTTGGAGAGTCTCCTGGCTCACTCCTCCGTGTTCCATGTCGCAGGGATGGGGAGTGAGGGAAGYAGGTGGTGTTCCAGGAGCTGAGCCCCTGACATGTAGTGGGAGCCTCCACAGGGGTTCCATATACTTTAATTTACTTGATCCTGACCTTAAGAAGTAGGAGTCATCATCACCTTGAGGTAGGTAAGGGAAAGAGGCTCGAGGAGTTTGCAAAGTTTAAATCACTCATCCAAGGTCAAGGAGCTAGTGAGTGTTGAGTTCCGAAGCACAGAATGGAAGCCATGCTCCAGGCAGCCCAATCTGGGGCCTCCCAGAGGGGCTGTTTTCCACCCGAGGATGGGGCAGGAAGGAGGGGGTGGTGTGTGCTCTGGCCGCAGCGCCTTGACCTGCAGGGAAGCTGCTCTGTTTGTACACCTGAGTCCACGCGGGCAGCTGCGCCCTTCCCAGCCTCCAGCCCTGCTCGCCCTGAGGTTCTGGAGACCTCCTCATTCCCATCCAAAACTTGTGACTGCTCATGCCAACGTGTGGCCTTGGGGTGGGAGGACTGGAGCCTTAACTAGAGGGATGTTGCAATTGCAGGTGGGGAGTGAGGTGAGAAGGGAAGAGGAGAGGTTGCTGGAGAAGCCCCTCCTGAGGGCCCGAACTGCTCCTGTGGGCAGCCCTCTGGAACGAGGGCAGAGGTGGTGGGCCAGACGGAGAACAGAGACCCTGGCCAGGGCTGAGGAGCTGGCCGACCCCAGGGACCTGTGCCTGCATTAGAGGCCTGGGAGGACAGGAGGCTGTGACTCCTCCTTACCTGAGCCAGGCACTGCCAAACACTGGGTTTGAGTGGGGCCAAAGGCAGGGCTGGGACTAGAGTGGAGGAGGAGAGGCACCTAGGACACAGAATGCCATCAGGCCCTCGCTCCCAGGTGCCTCTCATGCCCCACCCCAGTCCCTGCCCTGCCCAGGAGCTCAGGGTCAGAGGGCAGCTAGGACTCAACCTCCTTGCAAACCAGACCTGTTCCAAGCACTGTGCATATGGTCATATGTAACATAGGTGGAGTTTGCTAATTCTATAATTCTGTTACTTCATTCAACACATACCTGTGTGTTAGGTTGACCCTCACAGTTCTTGAAATTATCCCCATGGACAGATAAAAAGACTGAGCCAGAACGGTTAGGTAAYTTGTCCGCTAACAACTTGTGCACCTAAGTATTCAAAGTCCATTATTTTTCTTTCTCTCTTTATTTATTTATTTTTTCAGGACTGAGGATTGAATCAGGGTCTTGCACATTCCTGTACCACTGAACCACACCCAGAGTACACGCTCTTAAACATAATGCAACATCGCATGTGTGCATTCCCCTCTCTCTCTCTCTCTCTCTCTCACACACACACACACACACACACACACACACACACACACACCAGATGCTGTCTAGCCACCTTATCAGGACCTCCCCGCCCCCAGCAGATTGGCCACAGCTGTGCTTCTGCTCACGGAAGGCCCTGGGGCATGCAGAAGAAGGTGGGTCACATGTGGACAGGGCCCCTTTTAAGGCCCCACCACCCCAGCTAACTCCGTCTTCTGCCACCTGACCTGCCGGCTGCTACCCAYACCAGCTGTACCACTCACCATGAAGGTTCTTGTCCTTCTGCTTGTCACCCTTGCCGTGGTCTATGCAGCTCCTGACCCCCGGGGAATCCTAATCAACCTGGTAAGGGGGTGTGCAGGGGAGGCACATCTGAGCCTCCAGGCGGGGATTTTGTGAGTTTGGGTCTTGGCCTCTGATGTCCTCAGCTGGAGCTGCTCAGGGGCTCTTTTCCTTGATGGCTCGGCCCCCTCCTGCACCTCTTCCCAGGGTGCCCCCAAAAGACTTATTGACAGTTCAGACTCAGGCTGGGATATGCTCAGAGCAGGGTGGTGGCAGAGAAATGACCCTGGGCTGGGGTTGGGACCCATGGGGTCCAGACAGATGAAAAGTCTGGTGTGAAGAACTAACAACTTGAGCCAGAGCCAACCCTATGGATTCTAGTACTGACTGTAGCCCACGCCCTGGCCCCGTGTTCCCATCTGGAATGTGCCCAGTTGGCCCCAAACAGGGTCTCCCCGTGGCTCCAGCTCCCACACCCAAGGCTCCTATGAAAGCTGAGACACCCTGCGAGGCTCTCCTCCCCCGACAGGCTTTTGCATAGTGACCCAGGGGCATCCAGGACCCTCCACACCCATCCCGTCAAGAGGGAAGAAGTGTGGCACTGGGTGGCTGCTGCACCCTGGCTGTGAGGAAGCATTCTACAAAATCAGAGCCTGGAACCCTGGCTCAGAGGATCCCATGCTCTAGAAAGCTTTACTTGTGCATGGCATGGTGGCACATGCCTGTAGTCCCAGTGGCACAGGAGGCTGAGGCAGGAGGATCACAAGTTCAAAGCCAGCCTCAGTAATTTAGGGAGGCTGTAAGCAACTTAGTGAGACCCTTTCTCTAAATAAAACATAAAAATGGTTGGGATGTGGCTCAGTGGTTAAGCACCCTGGGTTCAATTCCGGGTACCAAAAAGAAGAGAGAGAGAGGGAAAAAAAAAGAGAGAGAGAGAAAGAAACAGAGAGGAAGCTTCACCCGCGATCCTGGCTTCTGACTTACAGTGGCTCACTCCTATGYGCCAGATACAGTTCTGAATGCCTGGCAATAACACCGGGAGACTATTCTTATCCACCACCCTCACATGGAGAGAAGTTAAGCACCGGCCTGAGTCACACAGCTGGAAAGGGGTGGCATTGGAATTGGCGCTGGGGCAGGTGAGCCCCAGGTTGTCTCACCTCCACAGGTCACAGCAGGGCAAGTCCCACACGGCAGCCACCCAGTGCCAAGGTTCTTTCGCTCCTGGCAGGGACAGGCTTGGAGGGTCCAGGATGCCCCTGTGATGCTATGCAAAAATCTGTGGGGGGAGGGGGAGTCTTGAGGGGTGATGGACTTCAATTTTCAGACTCCTCAAAGGAATGTGGGAGCCGGAGCCACTGGGAAACCCTGTTTTGGGRTCATCTGTGCAACCTCCAGAGGGGATCACTGAGGCCCAGGGAGTTGGTAGTTACAGCCAGTACTAGAAGCCTTGGGTTCCGACCCAGCCCAGGGCTGCCTCTCTGCCACCACACTGCCCACTCCTCACGTGGGTGGAGTGCAGAGAGGCCACCAGACCCAGGGGCTGGACTCCTTCACACACGCTCCTTCTGAAGGAGGTAGTGTCGGGGATGAGTGGGACGGGGGCTGGTGGCGAATGGCATGGGGAAGGGCGCTGGGCTCACTGTCTGTCGCTGCAGGAAGATGGCGAGATCTGCATGAACAGTGCCCAGTGCAAGAGCAGCTGCTGCCAACACTTCAGCCCCCTGGGCGTGGCCCGCTGCACACGCAAGGCCAGCGAGAACAGCGAGTGCTCACCCAAGGTGGGGACKGGGGAGTTGGCAAGAGGGGACGGAGGATGGTCCTTGAGGCTTGGGATGGGGTCAAGGACCTTGAATACTGAGGGTATGAGCAGAGARAGGTCAACAGGTGTCAAAACACAGTCCCATCTGCCACACCTCAACCCTCCTAACTGAGATGGGTGGGGCAGGGAATCCTTACTTCCATTTCATGGGTGGATAAGTAAAGACTCCCCAGAGAAATCAAGTTAGTAAGAAAGCCGGGTGTAGTGGCGCATGCCTATAATCCCAGCGGCTTGGGAGGCTGAGACAGGAGGATCACAAGTTCAAAGCCAGCCTCGGCAAAAGCAGGCAATAAGCAACTCAGTGAGACCCTGTCTCTAAATAAAATACAAAATAGGGCTGGGGATGTGGCTCGGTGGTCAAGTGCCCCTGAGTTCAATCCCCAGAATCAAAAAAAAAAAAAAAAAAAGTAAGAGTAAGTCACAGTGGAGACCAGACCTGAGCCTCTCGGGCCCACAGCGCCCCCTAAGGAAGCCATCGGGAGAAACACCCTCTGAAAAGGGAGGGGGCTGCTGGTTCTCCCTCCAGGCAGGGGGCAAATGATGCCCAAAGCAGCCCCCCACAGTCTGTGACTCCACTGGCTCTGGCTCTGCAGACACTCTATGGGATTTACTACAAGTGTCCCTGCGAGCGGGGCCTGACCTGTGAGTCGGACAGGACCATTATTGGCGCCATCACCAACACCAACTATGGTATCTGCCTTGATGCTGGACGCTCCAAGGAGTAAGACCACCCCTGACTCCTGCACCTAGCCCGGCAGGCTGCGCAGGACCCTTCTCTTGTTTTCCATCTCTTATCTTCGGCTGGCCACCTCCTTGACCAGCACCTCTGTCACCTGATTGGGTTCTTGGCAATAAAACCTGCCTGCAAAACTTCCCTGCTCCTGTGTGTCCTTGCTGGGTCAGGGTCTCCCTTGATCCTGCATCAAGCTTTTGCCCACCACGGCGGGTGTCCAGCAGGCCAAAGATGGAGGGAAGGGTCCAGGACCAGGAAGGATGTGCTTGAACAGATTGGGGACTAAAGACAAGGCCCCGGCGGGCCAGGAACTTCTTCATTTCTGGGAGCAATTATTCCGCTCTGGGAAGATAGGCAGCAAGAACTTGTGCGTGCGCACACACCCCCTCSGGCGCAGAGTTCCCTTGGCCCATATTTCCTGCCCTACATCGGAACTCTCCAGTCCCTGTCCTGGTTCTTACCTCCTCCAGGCCTGGCTTTCCGATGTGACAGCTGACACAACCACGTGTCAGACCTCCAGCACAGGGGTCAGATCCCAATTGCTCTGGACTTACTCTCTGTCCTAGAAAGTCCTCACAATGATCCTGGGAGGGAGGTTTTATCATCTCTATTCCACAGATGAAGAGACTGAGTTTCAGAGAGATTAAGGATATTGCCCAACATAACATAAATAGACAAAGGTGGCACTCTACCCACCCAGCTCCACCCCGACCCTTTCTATGATTCCCTAATCTTTAAAAAAAAAAAAAATATATATATATATATTTTGTTTTAGTTGTAGGTGGACACAATAACCTTTATTTTATTTTTATGTGGTTCTGAGGATTGAACCCAGTGCCTCACACATGCTAGGCAAGCACTCTACCACTGAGCCACAACCCCAGCCCTCCCTATTCTTTCTCAACACACAAAATGAGAAAAATGATCAGAAATTGTAGCAAATTTAATTTTTGGTCAATTCAAAAATAGTAGGGCTGAGGATGTGGCTCAGGGGTAGAGTCCTTGCCTAGCAGGCACAAGGCCCTGGCTTCAACCGCCAGCACCACACACACACACACACACACACACACACAAATTGTATAACCCCCCAGAGCCATCAAACATGAGTTGCCTCACCACAGTGTGCAAGCAGAAGTTCAAGGATCCGCGGGTGGTGGGAACACTGGAGAGGAGATTCACACAAAGAATAGTGGATAAGGGACAAAATAAAGTTTAGATGCCCCCCAGCCCCAGGATTTTGTAGTTCTGTGATCAAATGAATCTCCTAGTAACTGAAAGCAAATGAAAGGGAATACAGAAAGAAAAAGAAATGGAGACAGACTTCAATGGATCAGTGATGCCTTATTAAAAGCAGCAGAGGGACACATTTTCAAGAGGGAAAATGGTGACAGGCAATAATAAGGGTCTGAGTTTCACAGGGTTTAGAGGGGCTGAGTCCTGGCAGGAAGTGTGTTGGTTACAGCTGGAGGGAGACCTTGGGCAGGCAGGGGGACAGCTGTAGAAAGGGAAAGTCAACAAGTTCAGATCCCAGTACTCTCCCTCTCTCCTTGGGGGTTGTTATTTTCCTTCATTAACCGTGAATTTATGAGGTAGGGCTGCATTAAGCTGTAAGTAGTAAAAAAACCCAAGTAATTATAACTTAAATAGAAAAGGACATATATCCCATGAACCAAGAAGTCTAGTGATAATGTGGGTGTGTGTGTTTGGTGGCTGGCAGGTCTTGACCCTCCCTTCACAGTTGCCAACGACTTGGTGGCAGTGCGCCTTCACCGTAGCCAAAGGCAGGAAGCATGGAGCAGAGGGAGGGTGCGGTGGGGGCTGAGGAGTGGGACGGTTCTCAGGGTGTCCCTTCTTGTCTTTCCCCAAAGCCTCAGGCAGACTTTCCTCCATGGGGCAAAGGTTAGAACTGGGGCGCCTGACCGCCTCTAGGTGCCAGAAAGGCTGAGAAGCGAAAGGGGCTTCCACCATCTTACTCCACGGGGCGTCTCCGGCCTAGAAGGAGGGGAAGATCAGGTCACATTCCCTGGTGCGCAGACTCAGCTCTGGGAGAAAACCACAGTCACGTCTTCTTCCTAGATCCAGAGTGACCACTGTGCCCAGCAGTGAATTAGACTATGGAGAACATGAGGAAAATGTCCCTGATTTCCAGGAGTCACTAAAGAATTGGGCTCTGCAGAAGCAAGTGGCCAAGCTGCCCCACCCCCACCCGCCACCCTGCCCTCAGTTTCCCTCTGTTAAATCCCTTTTACTTAAAATACCTGGAGTGGTTCTTATTTAACTGCCCTGAACCTGACATTTGTGGGGGAAGCTCTCTGAGCCGTGGCTGTGCCTGGCAGAGAGGGAGAATTTTGTCATTGTGGCTGACACCTGATCACACTTGCCTCTCACCAAGCCTGGAGCCCAGAGGTGCCACCTTTTCTAATTCACATGAAGATGTCGCACAGGCTACAGCCTTTCACTGACACTCTCCACCTTCCTATCCTAACCCCAGGAACTCCTCATCTTGTGGTTACCTTTTTTCTAGATCTATGAGATGTTCACTATGGAAGCAGGGGTGTGTRTAGCTTTGAGCTCATAAAAAAAGAAAAGAAAATCCCTGATCCTGTGGTCCCACATGTGGCTGTTGAGCACTTGAGATGTGGCTCATCTGAATGGAGATAAGTATAAGATACAAACTTGATGAGGAGGACTTATTACCAAAAAAAAAAAAAAAAGAATGTAAAACATCTCAAATCATGTTGAAATGATGACATTTTATATTAGCTTAGAAACAAAAATAGAGTATCAAAATTGATTCCACTTGCTTTTTTTTAATACTAAATCTTTTTTAATATTTATTTTTTTAGTTTTAGGTGGATATAATACCTTTATTTTGTTTTTATGTGGTGCTGAGGATCGAACCCAGTGCCTCACACATGCTAGGCGAGCATGCTACCAGTTGAGCCACACCCAAGCCCCCTCTTGCTTCTTTTTATTTTTTGAATGTAGCTATTAGAAAATTTAAATTATAGCCTGCTTTTTATTCCACTGGGCAATGCTGCAGAGACGCCCGGAGCTGCGGCTTCTCAGCCCAGGAGAGGCACAGCCGCGGCTCAGAGAGCTCCCCCCACAACTGTCCCTGGACTTCGGCGGCAGGGCCTCTCCCAGGGACCACTCTTCCCACGGGGGCAGCAGAATCTCCACGGTTTGTGAAGGGGTCCCCAATACACCGCAGTGGCATGAATATTTTGAGCTCAAGGCTTTGGGCAGTAGGCTCTCTTCTGAACTTCCTCATTGGCCTAAAGCAGAGCTTCCCGAAGAAATGGATGCTCATCAATCCCACCCCAGGTCCTCCTGGAAACCAGGGCAGGTTTTCTTCTCACCCACCACAGAGAAGGGGCATCACCGAGTAGATGTCTATAAGCCAAATCCCACCCGCCTCCTAAAGCCACGTTTTTCTATGAACATTATGAATAAAAACCTGCCGTATCTCTTGCAAGTGTATCTTCTGTTTTTTTAATTGTCAAGGCCCCATTCTCTGAAGCCGAGAGTAGTTTTTTTTCTTAGCAACACATGGAAATGGGTTCATTGTGTCAGAAACATGCCTTTCCCTTTTTCCCTATTTAAAAAATGTCACCTGAAGTTAACAACGTTTTTTAAAGAACATGTACGACTTGAGGGTTTTTAAAAGGCATATTATGTCCCTGGATGAAAATACTCAATATTGGGGGCTGGGGATGTGGCTCAAGTGGTAGCGCGCTCGCCTGGCATGCGTGCGGCCCGGGTTCGATCCTCAGTACCACATACCAACAAAGATGTTGTGTCTGCCGAGAACTAATAAATAAATATTGATATTGAAATTT